TCAAAAAAGGAGATAATGACGTTCATCCTTTTTCTCAAAGAAAAACTGATATAAATTAGGTCCTTTGCGTTTTTGACTTGTTCATGTGGTTAGGTTTATGGAGATTTAAATTCCACATAAATATAAATTCATATAACATAATTCAGTGTACGATATTATTTTAGGTGTAAGAATATAAATAAAAATACTAAAATGACCAAATTTTACATTTCTCTCAAATTCAATCCAAATTTTTTATGGGAATATGGAGCAGTCTAAGTTGAATTTTTATTTTTTCTTATTATGTAGGGCATCGCTTTTCCCTAATTTTCCTTTATGAATGTTTCTTTCGATTTAACACGCTTTTGCTTTCTTCCAAATTCCAATATATAGAAATTAGAATGCCCCAAAATTTCGATTTCTTTATCAAACTTAATTTCTGCCTTTTCTTTTTTCATAGTTTCCAAGAAGCTTATAATTTTATTTAAATATTCTTTTTTCAAAACTTATCCAAAAAGTAAAAAAGAATAGAAGAAAAAGATGTGTTTGTCCTTTCCGTACACATGGCAAAAGATGGATGCGTCTTTGATTGAATGATTTAAAAAGCCATTGAGACAATTAGTCAAGGAAAAACACTACTTAAATAAGGCAAATAAAATAATATCAACGATATATTTTATGAAAGTTAATAGTTTAATCTCCCTTGTGCATGATCAATTTAATAACTCTATTAATTTAAAGTAGGATTATTATTATTAGGAAAATGGAGTAATCGGTGATTTTCCTGATTTATCGTAATTTAGTCGTCTCATTTTAACTTGAGATAAAATTTAAGATAATATTTTTTTAATCTTATAATCTTAAACTAAAACTATATAAAATGTATCAAAGTGTCACTTAATCTTGTGGTCTTAAATATATCATGTGAAAATTTAAATTATATATATATATTTTTAAAAACATTTTTTTCTAAAAAGAAAAATAAACAAACAAAACAGACGGGATGTACTTTGGGTCTTTCGGTTCTCTTTAAGATTATGGGCCTTTTAAGTTGGGATTTTGAGGCCCACTTCTCTAATCAGTCTTTAAAATTCTGCTAAAGTGTTGCTATAGAGCCCAATATCAAAAAGAATTTGAGCCTAGATAGATGGGCCTCACCCAATTCAATTCTGATAACTGTAATTAAATTACTTAAAAATGTACCTTTTAATAAATAATTTATGATTTTAGCGATATTTTTTATTAATTACCATCTGTAGCAATATATAGCAATACTATAATAAATCTACAATATATATTAAAAGTGAATTATGTATGCAATATATATGTATTATAATTGTTTAAAATATATATTATGTTTGTTTGGTAAGAAATTGACACATTGTATTATATAAATTGTTCTCTGTAATATAAATTAAAACTTTATTATAATTATATTAAAAATGATCAAGTGAAAATAAAACATTATTGCTATAAATGGTAAATATTTTCTTAATATAGTATATTTATATAAGTGTCCCTTTTTTACTCATCAAATGAGTGGTCACTTTAGCAAAAAAATATAACATCAACAGTTCATTACTAAAAGTAGTATTATTCAATGGTGCACTGTGATTGATAGCTAATTTAATTTTTTAAAAGAGATATATACAATAATCTAATCAAATACAACTTTTGATTAATGATGTGAAATGTTTTCTTAATTGTTGTGTCAAAATTGTAATGAACCGTAAAAAAAGAGCATTTCAAATGCAATGTTTTATTTAGTACTCCTATCAGTTAAATAATTTATAACCCCACAAATATGTATAATTTGTTTTAAATCACAAACTTAGATTTCATTATTCAATTTTATATTTAAGTTAGATAATATATGAATTAGAAGAGGGAAAGTTGTAGCATAATTCCAAACAAGTGCAATTTATATAACAAGAAAGTAAAATAAGTATATTGATTCAAAACTTTCCTGCTGGACCTACCTATAATATATATTTTTTAGATTTAGATTTGGATTTTAAATTTAGCATAAAACGTGAATGGGAGAAGATGTGACCAGTCATAAATACCATAAATATGTTTTCATACTTGCATGTGAAATGTTGTCAGTACGTTATGTGTCAACTTTAAAGCTAGATATATAATTATTAATGCACAAAACATTAATTTATTGATAAAGCTTAATGTGAATATGACTACTGCTACTACTCCTATTTTATTATTTTTTGAATATTTTTTCAAAAATAGGAAAAAGAGTCTCGATTATTGAAGATTGATATTCCCCATTAGTTTGGGCAGTGAGCCGTGGGTTCCCATGATAGTATCCAAATTACCCCTAGGTCGGTTTAGCGTTATCCATGCATATCAAATAACTGAAGCTCACGTGGGGTCTCAACTCTCAAGTAGGGATGTTCTTGGTTAAAAAATCAAATTGAATCGCAATTTGAACTAAATTGATTAAAAAATTGATATTTGGTTAGGTTTGATTTTAAATTTTGAAAAACTGATACTATTTGGTTTGATTTTGATTTTACTAAAAGATAACTGCAAAAATAACTAAATCGAACAAATAAATTATATATATAAATTTTGTAATTATTTATATATTATTCATAAATAAAATATATATTTTGTTAAATTTTAAGTAACTTAAATCTTTAACTTTACCATTTTCTCAAGTCCAACACTTAAATTTTAGCCCATTTATTACAATTATAAGTCCAAGTGCATCAAATTTATAAGCCCATTTAGTTATTACCCACCATACATTTAATAAGATAGTTACACCTTCTCTTAATTGAATCACTTTGTTCGTGTAATGATAACTTTAGTATAGTTTTATTGCTTAATTGAACCAATAATAGCTTTTCAGTGGATTGCAGATTGTTCATATACTAGGTGTTTGTGTCTATAAGATACGTATGTCCTAAAAAATTTATTACTTTCAAACTGAAAAAACCAAAAAAACTGAACCAAACTGTCAATAACCAAACAAACGGTTATTTTTTTCGTTTGATTTTAGATATTTAAAAAACCGACTAGATTGGTTTGATTGTGGTTTTAACCGATCCAAACCGAACCACGAACGCCTCTACTCTCAAATAGTATTCGTCATATTATTTTTGGTCCATTTTAATTTATAATCATTTTAAATAATAACCAAATTAAGTTATGTAATGAAAAATAAAAATAATGAAAGTTAAAAAGTATATATACCGTCAATATAAAGGTAAATACCATTGGTATAAATAATTAAAAAAAAGATTATATGTATCGTCAATATAACATAGCGTAAAATAATATTTTAGAACGATGGTGTGAGACATAGGTTAAATAATAAATAATAGGAAGATCAGCTTGGCATTATGAGTCGTATAAAGAGATGGATATAGTTAGGGGTATATAGGTCGATTTGGTTTATTTTTCATTTTAAAAAATTTAAATCAATTATGTCAGTTTATTAAATCTAAAAGCCAAATCAAACCATGCAAAGTCGGTTTTTTGGTTTCGGTTTTAATGGATTCTTTCGATATTTTTTGGTTTTTTGGTTTTTTTGTTTTTTTTGGTCTTTTTTATAACTATACGGTGTTTGAAAAAGAGATCAAATATATTTTCACTTACCTGTGTGATAAGCTAAACTTAATAAATGTTAAATGAATAGAAATTTTCGTAAAGACGTAAAATTCACATGAGTACAAAAAATATATTTTTGAAATATTAACGTTCATTATGTTAAATTAATAAAATTAAATGATACAGTCAAATTGAATACAAAACGAAATATTTACAAAGTAAATTGTTAATTTCGAATTTGAAAAACTATAACAATATAATTGTAACTTCTGATCTTAATACAAAATAAAATATTTATAAATTTTACAAGCCCAAATTTGAAATAAATTATATAAACATTGAAAACTATAAACTAACTAAAACTATATTAATAAAGTAGATTATAAATAATATTTTTTATCTATAAATAAAATAAAATTATATATATAACATTTACAAAATTTTACATGCCCAAATTTAAAATTAAATAGGAAAAATTGTATATAATAACAAACTATTAATTCAAATTAAATGTTATAGCTATAATTTACTTTATTTCCAATCACAGCTACTGTTTCATATAATTTGCTATAGCAATTTCTCCGAGCGAAAGGACAAGAAAATGGCTGCTTCTTCGGCTGGTGTTACAAAACTGGCGGGATTCAGAATATACAAGAAAATGGCGTCTGCTTCAGGCATAGAGTTGTATATAAAAAAAGAATTATTTTTTTAATGAATTTTCAAATACATATACAGATTCAACTAATACAAATTTTTATTTATATACATATTACACTTATATACATATACAACTGAAAAGTACAACAAAAAGAACATATACTTATACAAATTATAGTGAGAGAGACTTGATATACAAACGTTTTATTTCGATTCAATTGTATCCAAATTCAAATTTTATGTAAATATACAAACATATAAAATTGAATTGAGAGGCTGCCAACAATTTATACAAATGAGAGGACAACGATTTATACAAACGGCTGTCAGCAAAATTATACAAATCTGAAGAGGAGCCAGCGAGTTATACAATCTGATGCTCCATAAGCGATTAAACAAACTATAGATATAACATACAAATTTGATGTTTGCTATATGTGAGAGTTGCTCAATAAAATATATAAACATTGAAAACTATAAACTAACTAAAAAAATATTAACAAAGTAGATTATAAATAATATTTTGTATCTGTAAATAATATATATATTATATTGGTTTGATTTGGGGTCGATTTGATTTTTTTTCTTTTAATACCAAATCAAATCAAGAGTGGTCGATTTTTTTTTCAAGCGCCAAACCAACCAATCAAACTACAAATCAATTTTTTTTCGAATTAATTTGATTCGTCAATTCAATTTGACTTTACAATTTAACTTATACACTCCTAGATATAGTATAGTATAGTATAGTACTAGTAGGCTATATAAGCGACAAAGGAAAAAAGGAGATGGTCATGAGTCGTTATCGTGTGGCAGAACACGTCAAGAAATTAAGTGGGATATTTCTCTCATTTGAATCATTACTTCTTCTGCTTCTTCTTCTTCTTTCTCATCAAAATACACTCACACAAGTAGCACAAAACAATGGGTGTTCTTGACCATATATCTGATATGTTTGATTGCTCTTCTCAACACTCCAAGCACAAAAGACGCAAACAATTACAGGTAACTTCTCTTTTTTGGGGGGCTTTGCTGTTTTCTTCAACTCTCAAGTCAGATCTCAAGATTTACTCTTAAATTAAACTTATTCCCCACATTAATTTTGTAGCCTATTACTAGGCATTTCACCATAGATTTGGAATTCATGTAGCTGGCTGGAGTTGAAAGTATTTGGAATATACTTAAACAACCTTTTAAGTAAAAACAGGTTACAAGCTATTTCCCGAATTCGATTTCAAATTAATCCACAAAAAAGTAAGTGAGTAATTTTTATGAACAAACTGTCCTCCAGCTGCTGTTTAAGTTTATTCTTTTAAATACAATTTGGTTTCTCGAATCTAGCTGTCTCAGTTTTTGTAGATCTATTTTATACCAATTACCATGTATCTGCCGGCCACTTTTATACCTTTCTGTTTTTTTTTTGTTTATGTGGGAGGAAATGCTTCAATATAACTCTCTACAAATTGCATAGAAGAAAATAGTTCATATGGGATTTTGCATAAAAACACTTTTTTTGGTACATGTGTCACTTAATCAATAATGTTTGTTCAATCATAAAACACTCCATATACAAAAATTATACATGCTTCTTGGAGGTAACATGTAATCTTTGGTGTAATCCCACAAATGGCTTTGGGGAGGGTATGATTTACACAAATCTTATTCCTGTTTGTGCGGTAGATAGACTTTAACAAAAACCAATGAAATTATTATGATGTGACATCTAAGTTAGCTCGAACACTATATTTTGAGAAAAATCTCTTCTATAGTTAATAACAATGGTAAATTATGAACTAAGTGATAACTGGGGTAGGTACTCCCTTTGTCCCATATCTTACTATAAATATTTGTTCCATATTACTTGATTACTTATTAGGATATAAGAATTAATTTTTTTCCATTTTACATATTATCTTTGGAAGTTTAAATAAATTTTGAAGATTTATGATTTTCTTTAAGAGGTTAATATGAATAAATGTCAAAATTGTGAAGTCGATCAATCTATTACTAGAACTAGAAAGTGTAAAATAGAAAGTGTGCATCTAAAATGGGTCGATGGGAGTAAAAATGAATATCTATATTTAGTAAATGCGTGCTAATAATAGATTTGGGGTGGTCTTCCCATGTGCACGCTCTCTTCTCGTTAATAGCATTTCTCCTATAACTATGTCTACTTATTTTGTAGTCACATGAACTAGTCTAGTGCCTTTATTTATTGTTGTCCTTTTGTTTTCTTCTTAAAAAAAATATTTCTTTACCTATTTTTCTTTCTTTATAACCAAAGTGAGTATTTCATAGCTTTTCAAAAGCAAAAGCAAAAGTAGAACGTTTCCATCAAGAGTGATGTGTTGCAGAAAGGATAGTGCAGATTCAGTATCCCCTTTGGGCCTCCACTGAAATGTACATATCTTGGCTGGGCCATATCCTATTTTTATTTATGGACCTGCCAAGATATAACTTATATGCACTAATACTCTTTTAAACATCATTTGGGTTGATATTTATGTGGCACCGTTTAAAGAAAAAAAACTTTCGAAACTTGTGGTCTAGAATTGTTAAATTAGGTCTTAGGCCTAACTCACACCCCAAAAGCTAGCTCAAAGGGAGAAGGATTGCCCAAGCCATATAAGGAGTTCACCCATCTCATTAATCACCGATGTGGGACATTTGTCATTCTTTAACACCCCACCTCACGCCCAGTGCTTAGCATCTGGTGCGTGGGCAATTTTGATTTTGGGGGCCCCAACATCAGGAGAGACGGACCCTGCTCTGATACCATGTTAAATTAGGTCTTAGGCCTAACTCACACCCCAAAAGCTAGCTCAAAGGGAGAAGGATTGCCCAAGCCATATAAGGAGTTCACCCATCTCATTAATCACCGATGTGGGACATTTGTCATTCTTTAACAAGAATAACCTATACTTATAACATATTTGTATGTTTATAAATCAGTTTATTAAGGATAAGAAGTGAATCTTAAAAGTTGAATTGTTTTAATTATAGCTTTATGGAGGGACTCAAAAGAAAAGAAAGTTACATAAATTAGAACTAATGGAGTGTCAAATTCGTTTTGCTATACACAGTTAACAATTGTTACATTTTACTAATGGCATCATACAAAAGTTAGACTATTTTCTAGTCCACATTGACTATATTACTTGGACTTATACCACCTCACTTTATCTTTCCATTCTCTTGGCTAGCGTTTGACCCTAGATTTAGTTGAAACTTAAAATAACAAGTTTTTGAAGTTGAAAAAATAGTTTTTGGAAATTGAAGTTGGAACAAAATATTGAAGTTTTAAGAGTGGAAGTGAAATTTCACCCCAAAAACTAGTTAGTACTAAATTTTATGAACAAACAATGTGTTCAATTATTGTTTTGAAAATCTATGGCCAAATGGAAGTCGAGATATGTGCCAAGGTAGTGTTGTAGATTATAAGTTGCTAGATTTGATAATAAGAAACTTTGGATTTTCAGACAGTGGAGATAAAAGTGAAGATGGACTGTGAAGGCTGTGAGAGGAAAGTGCGAAGGTCTGTTGAGGGAATGAAAGGAGTTTCGTCCGTGACAATAGAGCCTAAACAGCACAAGCTCACAGTAGTAGGCTATGTGGATCCAGAGAAAGTTGTGGCTCGTGTAGCCCATCGCACAGGTAAGAAGGCAGAGATTTGGCCCTATGTCCCATACGATGTCGTTGCTCACCCCTATGCACAGGGTGTTTATGATAAGAAGGCTCCTGCTGGATACGTGCGAAGAGATGATTTCCAAACTAACCAGCTTGCTCGTGCCAGTTCTACTGAAGTTCGCTATACTACTGCCTTTAGCGACGAGAATCCTGCAGCCTGTGTGGTCATGTGAACTAAAATACTGCTGCTATGATTACTATATTATGAAATCTTGTACCATAGTACATTAGTACTCTGTTATTGTTAAATTTGTATTGGTTTGTGGTGTTGATTCCTCCTTTTAAGTTTTGATCATAGTGCTATTTTCTGTTTATGCTAAAGTTTTATCATGATTGTACGTACTGTATTGTTAAATCGATGAGTATTCTGTTCTTGAAAGATGAAATGGAGTACTGGAACCCGTTAAATTGGCTGTTTCTGTTGCCACAAACCATTAGATTGCAGGAAACTGTGAAGTGATTTCTTTGTCATTGAAATTTTCTGTTTACTTCCATTAACAAAAAGAAATTGTTAACAGTGTTGTCATTGACATTTAGATATGTGAGATGGGTATGTATAACTGTTGGATTTTTCAGATTGTTGCTTTTTGTAAAGCATCAGTGCATGCATGCCAAACTTTTTGTTTCTTTATAAAAGTCTAGTGGGAATTTAGGTTGGAAAGCAATGAGTGATGGATTATTTGGAAAACTCTTAGGAGTAATATGGAATTTCTAGCTAAAGAATTCCATAATTATTAAGAAACTAGCTTTTGGGACTGTTTATGCCTTGTTATTATTATAAAACTTCTACATTATTTAAAAAGTTAAAAGTCAACATTCTTCAAATAACTCGGAAAAAATTGTGTAGTCCAGTGCAAATTTTTAATGCGGTGATCTTTTCTCCAACAAAAAAAAAAGAAAAAGTAACCACCTTATGAGAGTTATTATTAATTACATCGGAAGAAAATGTAGTAAAGAGAAGGACAATTTCAAATAGGGAAACAATAAACATCTTTGTCAATACAACATTATTTGTTTCATGAATTCTGACTAGAATAACAGAAAAAATGAATAAAAGTATAAGCCCTCAGTAATATAGTAAATAGTGCTTATAGCTCACAATCAATTTCATCTAAATGATATACATCTAAAAGTAAAAAGAGAAAGAATCATTGAAAATTACTACTGCTGTAGTAACTTTGTGTTCAAATTCAACAGGAGGATAACCTGCTCCTTAACTTTGGTATGCAACTAGGGTGTGTATTGGTCGGTTCAGTTCGGTTTTAAGTATTATTGGTTTTTAAATATGCTAAATCGATAATCAAACTAATAAGATATTTGTTATCGGTTTTCGGTTTATTGGTCTTTAACAGTTCAGTTTTCGGTTTAACCAATAAGAAAATACTTTCAAAATAAATATATGACTTGTCCAATAATTTAACGCGAAATAAAAAAAGAGAGAAATCTAATTACTCATTGAGTGCAAAAGCTTTTCTTAGTGTAGTAAAAGTACAACAAATACTCACAATTTATAACCCTAGTCATTGCCTAACCCTTGCCGTCGTCATTGCAAACCCTAGACGTCGTCGTTCTTAGTTCTTTAGGTTTTTGACGTTGTGAACCTAAAGACTAAAGTAAACTAAACTTAAAGGGTAAATGCAGAGAGCAAGTTAATTAAGTAATGTTAATCGTGTAGGGTCCTTATAGTTATAGTCTAATATAGTGATTATACTAATATTTTTTGTTTGATATTTATGTATGACTAAAAATTAAAATAGTAAATTATTATATTTTCAATGGGTTATCGGTTATATTAAAAAACCAATGTCAAATCGATAACCCAATAGTTTATTTTTTATAAAACCATTAAATAACCATTAACCCAATAACTCAATAACAATAAATCAATAACACTTTTTTCGGTTCGATTTTTGCACACCCCTATCTGCAATCAAGTGAAAGAAATAATCCTCAATAAAAAAATCTCAAATTCTGTTCATATATTTTACATATAAACTAGAAATTAGGATGTAGAAGAAAAGAAAGTGTTTTTGCTAAGAACTCATCTAATGTGATTCTCATAAGAGGAAAATTACACATATATAAATACGAAATAATATTAATAGAGCATATCTTGCTAACAAAGTGCAGAAATATAAATATTGAAAATGGCAAAGTACATAAGAACTGCATAGTCCATTCTTTCTTCATTTTATCATACACTCTAGTCACTCAAGTTTCATTTCAGTTCTTTTTACATCTTAATATACAAGTAGTAATATTTACATAACTTATGGATCAGTTACAGGCTTTTGGGCTTCTTCAATAAATTAATTACTGTGGATATGAAATACTTTTACAACATTGTTCTTAATATTGAAGGAATAATTTATTGAGTAACTTACAAAAATGACTATATTTATAGGGTTATTAAAGTTTAATAGCTATATGTATGTTATTTTTTTAAAAAAATTACTACAATTTACTCTCTCCGTTTAAAAAAGAATCACCTCCTTTCCTTTTTAGTCTGTTTCTAAAAGAATGACCCCTTTATTTTTTTTGGTAACATTGTAATTTCAGCTTTCCACGTGGCATGTTTAATACCACAAGATTAAAGGGCAATTTTGTACATTTGACGTAACTTTAATTTAGGACCACATGATTAAGAAGTCTTCTTTATTTTCTTAAAATCCGTGTCAAGTCAAACTAGACCATTCTTTGTGAAACGGAGGGAGTATATCTTTTTCTAACTGTAGTTCTTTATATGTTTTTATTTTTCTATTTAAACAGTAATACCGTTTTAATCACAATGAACTAAATAAGAAAAATATATTTATTGTGTACCGTTAGCATATAAATACTTTGAATTCAAATTGGTATCTCTATTTATAAAACTTAAGGGGTTGTTTGATAGAGTGTATTAGGAAATATAATGCATGCATTAGGTGTGTGTATTAGTAGTACCTTGTTTGGTACACTTTTTCATGTCATATATAACTAACAATAGTTATACACTCTATTGTGTATTACTAATACCAAGGAATTCTAGGTATTAGTAATACATAGCATTTTAACACTTGCATTAGATTAAATAATTACAAAACTACCCTTAAAGCCTTTTCATTTTCTTTGTTGTCAGAAGTTTTTTTTTTTTAATTTTGATTTGCTTTTTAGTTTTTTTTTATTTGTTGGTGTTTTAATTTCAATATAATTTAATCACAATTTTTACTATTGTGACGATAAATTTGATATAAAAAATTGTTTGCAAACTTTTCACAAAAATATTTTTACGCAATAGTACAACTATTTAATATTATTTTTGAAAAAAAGAAGAAGAAAAGTTAATGGTGTTTTAGCAAAGAATTTTTTTTTGATGTTTTAGCAAAGAACTTTATTGCAAAGGAAGTGTACAAATAAATAAAGTGTGAAAGGTATTTTTGTAAACATATATTTTTTTAATAGAAATTATGCAAGGTTTGTTATTTCTAATACATCAAATCAAACAATGCATAAGAAATAATGTTTGCATAACTAATGCAGGCATTACTATTGCAAGACTAGCATTACTAATGCCCCCTATTTTGCATTATTCTTATATACTCTATCAAACGATCCCTTAAAGTATTACGTATCACGGATACAAGTATTTCTTGCACTCAATCTCTTAAACCAAATATTTCTTCATTTTTATAAATTTCTTGGGCTAGTGAGCTTTATTAAGTTTCATCTATTAGAAGAGACTCCAAACAGAGGGTCTCAGCAACAAGTTGAACTCAAATTATATCATGCAATGAACCTCCGATCCAAAATCAACATCTCTCTAACTGAGAAATCGTCTTCAAACAGAAAGCAGACGTTTGTATAGTGTGATTTCATATCGTGTTTGAATTCATATCATGATATAAAAATTCAAATTCTCCAAAAACTCGTTTTGGGAATATCAAATCATGATTTGAGTTTTTAACTACAAAAAATTGATTCACATGTTTATATTTTTGTAAAAACAATCTACATTTTGAAATATCTACAACCATTTATTTCATATGTAAATAAAATTTATAATTACATTTAAATCATTTATATCCGATATAACCATTATACCAACATATAATTATTATTTCAAATCAATTCCTACTTGACTATTTATATCCACTAAATTCATTATTTTTTATCAAATTTATTTACCGATCAGATTGACCAACAAATGGTTCAAAGTAACAATATTTGTTCGTCTTCTCAGTCACATGATCGAAAAATGCAAGTTTAACGTGAGAAGATTATACATGCTATGTGAGAAGATATATTAAATACTTGTATGCAACTTAATGACTTATGTTCAATTTTATTTTTTAAATAAATTGAAGTTTATCAATAAATGTCTTTTTTTTTTTCAAAATAACTTTGTAATAGTGTATTATTATATTTATAAACTTCTGCATTTTGGTAAAGATTTGTTAACTAAAGAATTTCATACTTTTTTAGAAATTAAGAAAAAATTAAAAATAACAGGGACTAACATGGAATTCTTAGCTAAAATTAGTCCTTTGTGGCACGAATAAATCTATTTAATCTTTCAAATATAATATTGACCATCTTTAGTTTCTTAAATTTACTGAAGTGAAACACCTTTGATCCCAACTAATAGAATGAACTTAAAAGCTAATGGTGACTATCAAAAGCCAATACTAAAAACACGACAAAAACCAAGAAAAGAGCCAACTGTGGTTGTTTGCTTCAAAAAAATTGGAAAAACAACGATCGATGGGGGTTCGATCATTTAAATACTCCAATAAATAAAGAACTTGTATATGGTACTCCCTCTGTTCCTAATTACTTGTCCATTTTTTTTTTATAGTTATCCCTAATTACTTGCCCATTTTGACAAATTAAGAAAGGACAATTTTTATTTACCTATTATACCCTCAATTAAATGACTAATTACTTTGAAAAATGTCAAAAAATTTCATCCACTTCATAATTAATAGGGATAAAATGATAAACCCACTATGTCATTAATTGTTTTCTTGAGAAAGTATTAACTAATCGATATATATATTTTTGGTCCAGCAGTCATTGGTGTAAGTTGCAACTTCCCCTTCATAATTTGTATGCGTGAAATTCCAAAAATGGACCTTGGACTACCACAACAGGCCCAAGTTCACTGTGATCCACTGGAGCAGTAGTAAGTACTAACAACAGTACT